AATTTAGCAATATTGCAAAGATGCAGGAAGGCTGTTCTAGTAATATTAGAAATATATGCGTCGAAGGACAGATCAGGATCTATCATGACACCGAGATTTTTTGGTAACACTTTCTATGTGGAAACACATTCATAACATGTTAGAATGCATTCATAAGGCATCATAAACATGGCTATAAATATTTTTAAAAATGCATTACGTTATAACCATGCTTATTATGCATTGTGAATTGTTAACATAATGCATTATAAGTTGTGTTCATAACCAATTATTAAAGCTCGTAAGTTGTATTGTCCGCACTAAGTAAAGTGAAGCGTACTGTACTAAAGCCTCCTCCAGTGTTGAGAGTGAGGCTTCAAGTTGAAGTATTTAAAGCACATTACAGGCTTCAAATGTCAGAGTTTAAACTAGAGCTGCCATCAGTGTTTTACCCAATGTGGGAAAGGTAATGTACACCACCGTTAGCTTGGCACTAACTTGACACTGCATATCCAATAGAATGCTAGCAGAAATTAGCATTACTGTACTGTAGTGTAGTGATGTTACAGAGTGAAGGGTTCTAGTGTTTGATGTTAGAACCAGTGAGGGAGCAAATTACAGTGACAGCACTCGACTTACTCACCTCTTCCTCTCCAGGCCTTCACTCCACAGTGACTTCACACTCAGTGTGATGTCAGAGGGGGTTCAGGGGAGGGGCTGATGGGTACTTGGTTTGCTGTGATGTAATGTAACCTTTAAAGTGAGAGCACTAGGTAAGAAAAGCTCACTGTAGCAGTAATTTTTCACTGGACAGCCTGTTTGGAGCACTGAATATTCAGGACTGAAGCCCCGAAGATGCAGCTCTAACAGCACCAGCGCTGAGAAATAAAATACTGGAAATCCTGTAAATAATGTTTGTATTTGTCTTTACGCTCTCCAACCTGGGACTGACCTCTTTGGCACTGACAGTATAACATTTTATTAACACAACTTATAATGCATTATATTAACAATTCATAATGTATAATAAATGTGGCCATATAATGTTTTGCATTTTTATAAATATTTATAACCATGTTTATAATGCTGTATGAATGCATTATAACATGTTATAAATGTGTTTATAGATACTTACAAAGGTGACATTCATAGAAAGTGTTACAGATTTTTCTTATTAGGGTTCAAGCATACAGTGTGTAGAACCCTAATGGAGTTTTCTTGTTTTTCTGCCCTAAAACAAATTGCCCAGACCAAACCGTAAGTTCTATGAAATGTATGAAACTTAGAACCCTATTGGAATTGTCAAGATTTTTCGTATTATTAGGGTTCAAGCACACAGTGCGTAGAACCCTATTGGAATTGTCAAGATTTTTCTTATTATTAGGGTTCAAGCATAAATTGCCACACAGACATCTTCTGTCATTTTGACCTGTGAGGCCTAGAACGAGCCTAAGTCTTGGGCTTATTTACAGACAGAGAACAAACATCAAGGAAGTCAGAGTTTATCAAGAGCCTTCATTCGCCATATTGTTGAGGTTGTGGTCTTTGTTCAAGTGATACATGCTAATTCATATGCACTGGTCTATTGAAGTTGTAGAACATCTAAACATTGTCAACATAGATGTCAAATACTTCTGTGTATAAGATATGTTTACTGTACAGATATAGATGAGCATGCACAAGTTTTTTTGACAGTAATCTTACTCCATACAGTTTCTCCTGAAAAATGTGTTGTCCAGAAAATACAGTCAGTCATACAGATATCTAACTTTGAAGGTAGGTGTAGTTTGTGTACATCTACCCAGACAACGAAAACTACACCATAGAGCATAAAGCATAAGGCTGTACTACAGCTAAATGCACTTTGCCTTGAAACTCCTAAACCAAAATTTTTATAGGCAAAATGTATTATTTTCCAGAATCTTTAGCTCAAAACAAACTAATGTGCTCCTTGGACCATTTAGCTGTGCCTTTTTAATTTTTGGCTAATTTGTCTCTCACAATTTGAAGCTGTTATATAAATAGAGACTCTGAAAAGATGTGTAAATTTTCATCCAGATTAGTCTTTAGGGGGCGCTACAGTACTCAAAAACACTTACTATCATTATAAAAAATCTATCATACATTTTATGTCAGAGATTGAATTCTTGGTATTTTGACTTATTAATTCAAAGACTACAGCTTATCCGAGGTGAAAAGATCAATCTGAATAAAACCCAATGAACATCTTTGTTGAAAGGCACTGATAAATAATCATAAAATTTGGAGATCATGACATGTTCTAAGGTCTTTAGCTTCTTTTCTCTATGCCAAAATGTCCTCTTATGTGTGCATTGATCTTCCTGATGCAGGCATATCAAAGTTGTCAAACTCTGGGAACAATAACATTGCAAATAAAAAAAAATGCCAGAAACTGAAACTTTTGTAATATGTTTTTGACTTTGTGTCAAAACCTTTTGGCATGTTAAACAAAGCTCTTGTAAACTTTAGCATATATAATGTGAAAAGACTACTGCTCATCATTTATGGCAAATGAAGGCCTTTTGATAAACTCTGACTCCGTTTCAGTTTTTTTTATCTATCCTGTTATAAGGCCCACATTGCTTTAAGCCTTGTTAGGCTCACTGTCCAACTGCACTGGGCTCTTATGGTGCTGATTCATGCTTAGACTTTCAATTGTGCTTGCAGGTCTAGAGTAATCTGCTAAAATGAAATAAGTCTTTCTCATCCAGTGCTTGTCAGATGTGTTGAATTAATGCTGCATCTTTAACGTATCTTATTAGTATCTTATATGAATAGCACTCTCTAACAACCTATTTGACCAGAGGCTCAGTACTCAGGTGGGAGAGACCTCTGCTGGTACGAAGGGGAACTGGTGGCAACTGATGTGATACATAGAAAATAAACATATTAAGTAACTTTGTCCGACATGTTATTTTCATATAGTGAAAAATCCTTGTGTGAACTGTCTCCACAAAATGCCCTTTTGAAACACCTCAGCCTCTGTCCTCACCAAAGTCTGTACACGACACTGCTCAGAAAAGTACAGATATATCTAGTAACTAGTTACTGAACATCTCTGCAGCAAAAAACAAACAACTGTGTGATTTGCTGCTTGTTTATGTATCCGTAGGTGCTCCTCAGGAGCACTGGTTCAGTCATCTGATCTACGTTACTACTATCATGGAACTTTTCATTAAAAGGTGTGTATAGTGTAACAAATAGAGGGTAATAGTAGAGAGTAACAATAGAGGCGGACTTTAATTAAATTTCTTTTCAATCAGTGTGAACAGGATTAAAGAGAAGTAGGAATATTACAGCTCAGAGCTGAAACTGCACATCTAGTTTGTGGCGGTGAGCACAGAGGAGTTAGAGGAGAAGAAAGTAAGAGTATTATAAAAGGAGAGTTGCCTTTAAATGCTTATCTGAAACACTACATTTAACATTCCAGTTACACTATATGGACAAAAGTATTGGGACACACCACTTAATCATTGAATTTGGGTGTTTCATTCAGTCTCATTGCCACAGATGTATAAAATCAAGTAGCTAGCCATGCAGCCTGCTTTTACACACATTAGTGGAAAAATGGGTCTAAAGAGCTCACTGAATTCCAGCGTGGTGCTGTAATAGGAAGCCACCGATGCAACAAGTCAGTTCGCAAACTTTCTTCCCTTCTAAATATTCCATGATCAACTGTGAATGATATTACTGAACAGTGGAACCTCAGCAACTCGGCCACGAAGTGTCAGACCACGTAAAGGTACAGAGCGTGTTGCTGAGTGTTTAGGAGCATAGAGCATAAAAGAGCCAGTGCTCTGCTGATCAATAACTGCAGAGTTCAAACCTCCTCTGGCATCAACATCAGCACAAACACTGTGTGCTGGTAAATCTAGCTAACTCCAGTTAATATTATTAAAGATTACTAATAACAGAGAATTAAGTTTATGGTGGTGTGAGTTTTTTTTTTATTTTGGAGTCAAAGAACAGTCAAAAAATGCCTTTGCCAGATTTATTAGGAGAATTCGTCAGACAAAAACAGGTTTTTTAATGCTGTAGAGAAAAATGATGAATCACGAAAAAAACATTGATTAAATGTTCAAAAGCGAATTGTAGCAGAAGGTAAAGGTAAGTAAAGAGTGAAACAAAGAAACAAGACATACATCAGAGAGACTCGAGCATGATTTACTCCCAGCGGTTCAGTTTTCTCTCTCTGTTCTCAAAACAGTATTGTTTGGAGTCTGTGAGTCAAGCTGTCACCCCTCCACCCTTTTTCAAGTTAATTCTCTCACCATCATTCGAGGGATGAAGCCAATAAAACTGGAGTGTTTCCATTTGCATAAACTGATCTGAACATATTCAGACACTCATCAAAGAGAGCATGTGCTGTTCTTTTAGCACAATCATTACCTTCTTTGGCACAACGTGACCTGTAATTTAAGAGAGGGACACAAACTCTGGGACAATGAGCTCCAAGGCTGTTCTTAGGAAAGAGGTCTAAACCATGTTTAGCATGTTAAATACCAGGTGGTGGTTTTGTCCTGTTTAACATTGAGCTGCAAACTCGCTCACAACACATCTACATTCAAAATCACACCAGATTATAGACAATTATACCACAGATAACATAGCTAATCACAGCAAATCAATGGATACATATTTAACCACAGAAAATCAATATATCGATAATAAACACTGGAGAGTGCAGACAGGACACAGTCTCTCTCACTGGGTCCTCATTAGAACAGATAAACACTCAAGACACAAATTAAAGCTAATTATGCTCTTAAAAAGATGGTTCTTCAATGGATCTTTAGTAACTGTAGATCCATGAACCCCTTCAAGAACACTTTGCATGTTTAAAAGGTTCTCTGCATCGTGGATTGATGGAGAATGTGCTGTAGATGGTTCTACGCAGAAACCTTTTGAAAAGCGTTCTAAAAAGAACCAAAAATGGTTCTTCTGTTGTTACTACATCAAGCTTGTAGCAATAGAAGAACTTTCATCAAAATGGTTCTGTATAGAACCATTTACAGCATAAACACTCAAGATTTAACACAGTTTAAATTAATGGGGTGAATAACTCTGGTGACTAGAAAGAAATACAGACGCAAACCGCCCAAAAAAATTAAAATAAAAGCTAAGTATGCTAAGGAGGTGCATATAGAAGTGAGTCATAGCAGGAATTAGACCGCTTTGTGCTTTATATATATATATATTACAGTTTGACTACTACTAATCTCAACTGACGAGCTCATCTGATGGCCTCACAATGCACATTAGTGTTTACATCATCAGTTTTGGATGGCTGGTGTTGATGGCGGGTCAAAAGAGACCTTAAGTTGCTGCAGCTGGTCTTTCACACTGTCGTATTCTTTCTGCCACACATCCTCTGAGAGGGAGGCTGGGTCGATCTCCAGGAAACTGTAGGCATCCTTGGACTGCACTCTGAATATCTGAACAGCTTTATTACAGGAGTCACCAAAAAATCCCCATATCTGTGAAATTGAACAAAGTGCAGGATTTCGTTGAACTTTGGGGCCACGCAGCTTCAACCACTTGACCCAACATTTGATTAGTATTTCATGTTAAATGTTAATGTTAAGGATGTGTTATGCTAAGAATGCAGAATATTCTAACATTGAACACTAGAGTTGGTGGGATTCACCATTTGCTATTGATGCTAAAGAAGTAAAGTTGTAATGTCAGGCATTCTTTCTTTTTTCCATTTGCACATAAAGATTATGATCTATTTTACAGCGGATCAGTGTAGTCGAATAGACACACATGGGTGTCACACAGACACGCAGATGTAGAAACTTTGTTTTTTGGTTAAAGAAGTAATGAGGTAAACATTGTAAGTTAGACATCTGCTATACCTGCTAAACTAGCAAGCTATATAACATCTACAGCTTTATTCTTTTGTAGAGGAGCACTAAAACTGCAGTTGATAAACTGACAGTGTCTTATATTTTACCTTGATTTTAGGAATTCTTGTCATTCTCAAACCTTTTCAAAAGTGCATGTAGCTCAGTCTGCTACGATAAAGGCACATGACAGATGTTGCTGATTGTACAGATTACACTTCCCATGAACATGCACAAGGACATAAAGACTGTTACCTGACACCATTGTTAAAAACTATTTCATTTGAAAAACAAAGTAAAAATAATAATAACAATAGTTTTGCCAAATTCAACAAAAGCAACCCAAATCAGTTACTGAATGTCCATGCAGAATAGCTGTCTAATGTAATTTCACTTGCAGACTAACAGACATCAGTTACCTCTGAGGCTGTACAGATTGACTTCAAAAAGACATCCTTAAAGTCCGCGTCTTCAACAATATCTTCACCAGCAAAGGTCTGGTCTTTGATGGTGCCCAGCAAGTTGTAGACGTTTTCCCAGAAGCATTTAAGCTTTTTAAGAATCTTCTGGATTTTATTCAGAAAACACTGGACTTCTCCAAGGTGGGTTGGTTCAGGGATAGAACCTAGCAAAAGCAGGGACAGAAGAAACACTTTATTTTGTAACAGGACAAAACATGTAGCATTACACATGTGTTCACACTGTCAGCTAAGCTGCCCCTTTGTTTTTTTTTTTTCTATTTTCACTACTTTTGTGTACGTAAAGCCCAACCTACACCGCATGATTTTTAGCCTCATTTTAACCCTGACCTGCCTCTTATACAGACACTCACAGATTCTGTCCTGCTTAGCTTTGTTACATACGATTACAGAGGTGAATGAGGGGGACTTTTTCATTGCTAAAACTCATTTTCTGTCATATTCCCTTTTTTGCCTAGCTGTCTTGTGCGAGCGTCCTCACAAAAAAAGACAAGAAATTCTATAAAAGTTTTTTGAAATCTGTTAGGATTTTGAAGGCTGTGTAGTGTTCACCTGGCTTGATTAGATGTTTTGTATTCCATATTTGAAAGATGTCAATTAGCAATATCACTACCTCAGAATCATAATCATGTCATAATTTAAAGGCTTAATGTGTGATGATGGAAAAATTCAAGCACAAACATACATTGACAGATAAAGACGCTCACCTTTGTTCCGCTCTTCTTGTTCCAGAGAAATCGTTTCAGCAGTGAGTCGATTCAGTTCTGATTCAAGAGCACTGAAAAAAATGTACCAGATGGTTTGTCAATTTTACAAAAACATTTCTTGTGCTATTCACATAAACAAGTTGTGTTTCATGCTGAAAAGTGATTTCATTGCTTAAAACATATTTAATTCGAACTGACATAAAATCTATTAGTTCTAATCATGTAGAATTGATGGGATCCATATATGTAACGTTGACGTGATTAAATTAAGTTAAATGATTGAAGATTACATCTTGCGAGATAAAGGCATTCCGCCAGAGGATTTGGGCAGGAAAGCTTGTCGGCTGGTGTCGTCAAGTACATTTTGGAGTTTCAAAACAGATAGCTTAATTCATGTCCAAATTTGGTATTATTTAAGTGTTGTGTTATTAAAAATGTCAGCTCTAGACTGTACATCCGCTCTATATACACAAAGAAAGACATGTCGTGGGCTGGAGGTTAGGGAACCAGCCTTGTGACCGGAAGGTCGCCAGTTTGATCTCCTGAGCCGACAGTATGTGACTGAAGTGCCCTTGAGCAAGACACCTAACCCCCAACTGCTCCCTGGGCGCTGTGGATAGGGCTGCCCACCGCTCTGGGCAAGTGTGCTCACTGCCCCCTAGTGTGTGTGTTCACTAGTGTGTATGTGGTGTTTCACTGCACGGATGGGTTAAATGCGGAAGTCTAATTCCAATGTGTTCAGACACAGTTGGCTAAAAGGTTCATTTCACACATAAGCATTGTTAGCGCTCTCCTTCCAGTTTAGTATGAAACCCACCAAAGCAACGATAGGGGAGAGTGGAGTAGCCGTCAAGCCAAAACGTTCATCGGAGCGGTTGGGGGCAAATAAAATATCTTTATATTAACTTTCATTGAAATAAAGAAAGTTTTGCCCTCTCCTGTAAAGTTACCATTTTGTAGATACTTATTTTTCTTTGGACAGCGACTATATATATAGGAGATAGACACTTTAAAATGGCCCTCTCCTTCAAGTTCAGTGTAAAACCTCCCAAAGCAATGTTAGCAGAGAGAGGAGTAGCCAAAATGCAACCCGTCAAACCAAAACGTTCATCCGAGCAGTTGGGGGTGTTTTGGAAGTTGTGAGTAGGGTGGCGGCAGGTTTTGCAATCGTAAACACAAAGCATTTGTCGGTGGGTAGGGTACACCGTGGCGGTAACGTCGCTAGCTTCCTAGTTAACAAGCTAGCTAGCCCTCAAACTGGTAAGTAATAGTGAAGGTCAGTATGAAACCCACCAAAGCAACGTTAGGGGAGAGAGGATAGGATAGGATTTGGGTGGGAAAAACTCAGCTCAAGGCATGCCGAGTGCATTTTTGGGGTTTCGAAGCCGGTAAGCATAATTCATGTTCAGGTTTGATATCATTTAAGCTTTGTATTCTTAAACATGACAGCTCTAGATGGTAGCACCCTAAAATGGCCCTCTATATATATATATATATATATATATATTATATATATATAGGGCCATATATATATATATATCTGTTAGCTGCTCTGTTGTAGAAACATTAAAAATATAATCTGTTGATCTTGTATGTATTGTGTTTAGAGAGTTACAGTTTTCCATTGTAGTGTTACATTGATTTTTTTTTTTTTTCCTCTTGCTCTTTGTTGCTGCAGATTGACAAGCAAACTGTCTTGCATGTCTCCTGGAGTCAGCACTATCACTGGGCTCAGCATGGCAGAGCAAATATAACAAATATATTCATGTAAATGGCATGACAGGACTCTTATTTATCCTTTCCCCATTTTATTATTTTATTTTATTCTTTTAATTAACTGTAGATTTGATTTCCTCATTAGACATTAATTCTCGTTTGTTTCTCTTTTGCAGTGAATGGTGCTGCAAGTGTGGTAGAATATTGCTGTGAATGTGGCATTGAAAGGCCGGCCATCAGTTTTACCAAGTAGGTCCCAAATATTAAAGCGTTTTCGAGTGAAACATGGATATTATGGTAATAATAATTGGTGAAGTGGCTTAATGCCCCTCTTTTCCAATTGGAGAAAGCAACCAGCCGCTTGAGAAGATGAGGGTTGAACTCCTCACAGATATCAAGAAGTGTAATAACAGAGAGACAGTTAGGGCTAAAATAGAGAAAACATTTGCATCAAGAAAACAGGAAGTAATTCTTGATGATCCCATGGTCAGTGATGTACAAGAGAGATGGCCAGCTCTCTTTGATGTAATTGAGGTAAGAGTAAAAAAAAAACCCTTTCAATGATAGTGTGACTTTTTGCAGTATTTGTGTTGATTAAGCATAAAAAGTTTGTCTTGATTTAACTTGCAGAAATGGTATTAAATCAAAACAAGCTATTTATGTTCATTCAACACAAAGAACACGTGTTGAATGAATATAAATAGTTTATTTTGATTTAACACAATTCTGTAAGTTGCTGCCAAAGCAAACGATATGCGTACAACCAATGTCCACTATTGAATTGAGTAAATCCAATGTGTTGTTTTTTTTCAGCAACACCAGGAGCAGTTTTTGCATCGTAAACGGACTTAACAATCGCACCAACGAAAGGCACAATGGCATCAAAGATGCTAAGGCCACTGCTTTTAGCAGCCGCATCTCTTACAAGATCCTGGAGCTCACGATTTCTGGCATCAATCTTCTTCTCTGTTTCTGCCAGCTGTGCAGTGGTTTTATTCAGCTCGGCATCAAGCGCTTTAATCTCCTCTATCAGTGTTTTAATCTGCTGGGAGAGCTGAGTAAGTTGTTTTTCAGTCTCTTTCTTTGCAGTGATGATGTCACTGGTAGTCGTAGCCAGTGTTGTGTATGTCATACCTGAATGTTAAATACTGAAGTCAGTCATGCAATGTCTTGTAGTCAGCGGTTCTCGAGTTCTTTCAGTGTGTCTGTTGTATGAGCTCTATCTGTCCTCTGTACAGTTGTATGGAAAGTTTGAGCACTGCTGGTCAGATTACATATGTTATTAACTTTTGAAGTAAAAAGAAGTAAACGCAAAAAAAAATATAATTCAGTTACTTTAGATTTGATTAATTTAAACATAAACATTCACAGCTAATAGCAGAAGCACTTTTTTTTATAACCAACTAGGAGTCTTTCTCTTGCCGTTTAAGGAATTTTCACCCACTTTTCCTTGCAAGACACTTCTACTTCTGCTATATTCTTGGACCATCTCACTCTCAATCAGGGCACTGTGAAGGCCATTTCTGGAAGCTTCAGCTTGCATTTCTTAAAGTTGTCTGTGGCTGATTTAAAGTGATGTTTTAGCTCATTGTTGTAGTAGCCAGCCTCTTTTCAACTTCAGTTTCTTGACTATGTCACATTTGCTTCCAGAATGCAATAATATTTGTTGTGTTGCACACATGGGAGAAAAGAAGGGCTTCCACGTGTATAAACTTCGTTATTTCTTTTCATTTCTGTAAAGATGCAAACCAAGAAAACAGCCATGCAGCTTTCTAACATGTTTTCAACACTGCACTGCAAGAGCTACACGAGGCACTCACGCATTTAATCATTTAGCTAAGCTTGGTTTTTCTCCATTAGTTTGCTTAATGTATCATAAAACCTTCACAGGTTCATCAGTACAATGACAAAATACCCATTCATCAAGAACATTTTTTAAGAAACCAAATTGTGGCATGCGCCCGCCCCCCGGGCCCCGACGATGACGGCCGCGAGGAAGGCGGGGGCGAACACCCAGCGGCGACAAACCTCGGCCGCGACGGCAGGGAGAGAGCCGCGAGTGGGGAGGGGGCGGAGCGCAAAGCCCGAGCTCCTCCGAATAACCCGAGTGACGCGAGTGACGGCGGGATGAGGAGGAAGACGACGACGGTACCGGCAACGAGAGGCACCAGGGCAAGGAGCGAGTCCCGAGCTCCGCCGCCTGGGCCCCGCACCCTGTTACGCAGCGAGGCCGCTCCACTACACCTCACCTTCGATCCGGGCGGTTGAGCTGCCAGCTGGGGGCGGTGACGAGGAGGCGGAGCAGCGAGCTCTCGTTCCCTCTCGGTTCAGGCGCTCACGCTGCCCTTAACGAGAGCCAGCTGATGCTGATCTGGCCGGCAGCGTGAGCGCCTATTAAAAGAGCTGAGAGGGAACCGAGCAAGAGAGAGGGACAGGCAGCAGCAACAAGAGACTGAGGAGCTGGAAAGCTCCTTATTTAGGAGAAGGACTGAAAAGTCTGGCTGACTGAAGCCACTGAAAAGTGTCCAGCCTAGGTTGTGGTGTTTGTTTGGTTTGTTTGATTGGAATTAAAGAAATATGGCTGCTGCAACCCCGAACGCTGCCTCCAGCGTCCTCCTTAAGCCCGGGGTAGCACATGCCGCGCTACACAAATCTACATCTTTTACACAGAGAGAGAGAGAGAGACTTATATCCGCAGAGCAAAGTCACCCGTTTCCAGTAAGCACAAACACTTGTTGTTCATCATGGCACAAATTAATGTGGTTAAACTGATTAATAATGGTTTTAAAACCGTACAGGCACTTCTAGCTCTGTATTTTACAGGATATTTGTATGTTATGCTGACCTGCAAACCAACAGAAACAGTTAGCCTCTCACAGTGTTTTCAGCACTGCACTGAAAGAGCTATGTGAGCTTCGAAAAAGGAGTGGGGGAGGGGCCCACTCATGAGTATAGCTCGCCCCCTAGTGCTTGTACAATAGAACTGCTTTCAATGAACAAATTAACCATAACCAAATGGACTGAGAATTAATAAAAATAAAAATAAAATGAAATAACTGGGGGTTCCTCTCTCTGTTGCCATAGCTTGGCCATATCACAGGTGGAATTCCTTCTTCCCTCTGCCCATGCAATGTTTCCTGTGCCACTGACTGCCACATGACCCCAAAGCATAATACATCCTCCGCCACGCTTAGCAGTTGGCACCATATACTTTTCATCTAATGCTGCTCCTTTTCTCCAATCATACCTTTGGTGATTGTGGCCAAAGGGTTTTATTTTTACTTCATCAATTCACAGCATTTGTGTCCAAAATGTCTCTCTTAACTGCATCAAAATCTCTTTTAACTGCATTAAAATTGCAGAACAAAGTTATTTTTTAAAAATAGTCTGCTGGAAGGTTGTGTTTACTTCTTTTCAATTCAAAAATCAATGAAATATGTAATTTGGTCAGGTGTACCAAAGTTTTGCATACAACTGAATATCAGACCAGTTTCCTGTGTCTTAAAGATGTGGGCATTTGACACCGACAATGAATATCAAAGTGAAACAGGGAAACTGAAGAACACAACGAACAAACAGCATCCCTCTACAGTCAGAACAGCAAGCCTTCGCAACATTCATACCCACTTCATGCAGATTTAATCTGCACAAACTTGTTCAAAATATACAAAATAATAATGAATATTGTTACCTCTCCACCATCTTTTCCACATCACGAATAATTTCATTGATCCATGCTCTTGCTTTCTCCAGGAACTTTATAACCAGTGTTGGTTTATTTTTCTCAACAGCGTGAGTCAGCATGGGAAACAGTGACGAAATTAAGTTCTGACTGGTGCCCACACACTGTGATGGATAGAAGATTGTGATATATGTACGTTTACATTTTGTCATATTTCAGCTGAGTAGAACCTGGTTCTGAATGAGTCTGTTTACACCACACAGATGGATTTGAGAAAGTGTAACAGACCTTCAGCAGAACAGCTTCAGAGGATCCGAAGAGAAGTCGGGTCTCCACTGCTCGCATCGAGAGCAGCCTTTCCAATTTTGGGAATTTAGCCAGACACAGGTAGGAGAGGTGGTACAGCAGGGAGACCTGCTGAGACGACGGGAGGAGCTCCTCAATGAACCCTGTGCTCCATGCAGAGGTGACTGGCACAACTTCTGTGATTCCCACAAAAAGAATGTCAATAATTTCACTATAAAGTTGGTTAAACAAGCCTTAAACTGTGTCTTTGAGCGCTTGATAATAGACTTTATCAAATGACTGGTATTGTTTTACTTGCCTTTGCTGTTAGCCATTGTGTTTAAAGACAGGGGGTTTGGTGTTCTGTGTTTTCCTAAAGATCAATAAAAATATTTTACAGGAGTGCCTAGAAATGTATTGTTCGCTAAATGTAAGTTTTAAAAGTGAATAAATAATAAAATATAGAGAGAATCTTACCTGTGGAGCTGTGTGGACTGTGCCTCTTAAAGATGCTCAATTCTGTGTTCTCACTGTGCTTTTATACTGTAAACGTTCCAAGTGATTGAGAAATATGTGAAGCATAGTGTGCTTTGCCCTCACCTTATTTGGAAATAGGAAATCTGATACAGTGCATTTCTGGAAAATCAAGATAGTCTGAGAGAATGTAGAAGACTGTAGAATTTTGTCCACTCTTAAAAATTAATGTGCCAATTGAAACCAAAAAGGGTTCTTTGGAGCAGTTGAGTTTTAATTTGGATGTGGCAATTTTCAATGTAACTAGTATTATTATTATTATTACTATTATTATTATTATTATTATTATTATTATTATTAACTTGTTATTTAAAGAACAGATTTTTCATTTTATTTAAGTTAAAACATCAAAGTGGCTCATTAAAGAGGAAATAATGCCAATGAAATTGGAATCAGTCATAAAATGTATGGTGTATCCCTAAAATATTTTTTCAATAATAAAATCAAACCATCAGACAAACATTTCAAACCACGTTTAACCTCAATAAATCTGCTACCTTACAGAGCCAACATAGACTCTCATCCAGTCACACACTCGTTCACATTACACACGCTATCAATGTCCTTTTCCAGTCAAATTATTTCTGGGGTAAGATAAAAACACATGAAGCCTAAATATATTTAACCTACATTTATCATAATAAATCATAATAAACAGGTTCTCTCTTTCACATCAGTATTTGTACATGTGAAGCAGCTCATGAGCCTCTCCAATATTTCACTAACTCACTCTCATTTTTAGCATGGGGAGGATTCTCCACAAGAGGGCAGTATTAGCTCTTAGGCAACAGAAGCTTACAATGAGAATAGAATAGTTTTCAGATTGCATCAGTCATCCACTTGGTTAGCTCTGTGTGATTTAAATTTTAGCTCCTGATCAAACTATGTAAACTTTGTACAATCAAACATCTTCGCTGTCAGCAGTTCTGTAGAAAAAAGACTGTAATATTAAACTGTCATATGATTCAAAGCCTTGGAGAGTGTTTATGTTTTGCCGTTTGTGATGAAGACCAGTCTACTCTTGCCTGTTTGGCTAAATGTAAAGCAGTGACTGCACTCATTTGGATTTTCCCACACTGCAGTCAGCATGCAGCAGGTGATGCAGCAGAGCTCTCCAGTGAAATGAATAGGAGGCAGCAAGGTGAAGTTGCACATGGATGCACACTGTTAGTGCACCATTCTGAACTCATGATAAAGCTTAGATATAACTTAAAATATTGAATGCAGAAATAAGTCATTCATAGAGTTCAAAGAAAATTTAGAAATACTGCATGAAAGCTAAACATTGAAAATTATATTCAAAACTGGCTGAAAGTGTACATGCTGGGACACAAAACATGTGAACCTGTTGTTGAGATATATTAACACACAATATTTTTTATATAAAATATTATTATCAATGCTGTATTTATAGTTCAGTAATTCTGTAAGTATCTGTAATAGTGATGGTTTAGAACCAAGATAAAAGTAAACACAACTAAAAATGACCATGCAAAACTGTATTACCTTGTCAGCATCATATTTCACAAAGACTAATATTTTCTATTATGTATTTTGGACAAAGGTATGTATTTATATTTAAAATTTTCATCACACAAAAGACTGGAACCTTTTTATAAAACATTCAGGCAGTTGCTGCTTGCGAGAGCTGATATTGTGCAAGAGAAAATTACAAAAAGTGAGTGAATTGAGACAGACAGGAAGTTTTACTGGCCACCACTTAAATGTGCCGTGTCACGTGGTACAGGGAGGGTTTACCTTAAAAGGGAACGCCGGAAACAGGTGGAAAACAAAAGGACGTATGAAAGCCCACCTGCTAAGGCTTAGGCGGGAACAAAACAAAGGACGCCAGGGGAAAGACTGGCTCTCTCAAACACTGAGGAAATGATAACTTTCCCAACAGAAAAGAATGCACAAAGGAGAATGAAAAGGAGAAAGGGGCAAACTTATCCCTTCTCTAGTTTTAGTTCTTTAATTTTTTTTTGTGTGTTGTTTTTTGATTTTTTTTTCTGTTGTTTTTTTTTTTAAAGGAAGAAAGACACAACTCGAGAAAAGGGGATGGGCTCGAGTAGTGACAAGGAGAAAAGAAGCTCGAGAGAAATTCTCTAGGGCTTCTACCCGAGATTACCGGCTGGTCTTCTTCTCAGCAAAGTGTGTCTTTTTCTCAGCCCTTATAAAGCCCCCTGAGCAGGTGTGGCTCATTTGGGTCGTTGACTCCCCCTGGTGGCCGGCGATGGCCTAGCCCTGGAGCCAAGGTGGGAAACGTGGAACGCGGGGTTGATGCGGAGTGTTGGGGGAAGTGCCAGTCGATAGGAGACTGGATTCACCTTATGGATCACCTTAAATGGGCCGATGTACCGGGGTGCTAACTTCTGGGACTCCACTCGGAGAGGCAAGTCCTTGGCTGAGATCCACACTCTCTGCCCGGGATGGAAAGACGGTGCAGGTCTCCGTCGTCGGTCCACGGCCCGTTTGTGAGCCATAGCGGCAGCCTGAGGAGCCCTTCGTGCCCGCTGCCAAGCTCGACGACAGCGGCCTATGAGACGCCCAGCTGCCGGAACCCCAACCTCCCTCTCTTGTTCGGCGAACATGGGCGGAGCATACCCATAGAGGCACTCAAATGGGGACATACCCAGGGACGGGTGCCATAAGGTGTTATGGGCATATTCCACCCACATTAGGTGTTCTGACCAGGAGAAAGGGTTAGTGGAAGCTAGGCAACGGAGAGTACGCTCCAGGTCTTGGTTCACCCTCTCTGTCTGGCCATTGGATTGGGGGTGAAACCCGGAAGAGAGGCTGGCTCTGGCCCCCAGCAACTTGCAAAATGCTCCCCAGAACCGGCTGGCGAACTGAGGTCCTCTATCTGATACCACATCCCTGGGAAACCCATGTGCCCGAACCACATGCTCAAGACAGAGCATGGCCGTCACCGTGGCTGACGGGAGCTTAGGCAAAGCAATGAATTTGCTTGCCTTAGAAAAATGGTCCACGATGACCAAAATCACAGTGTTGCCCTGGGATGGCTGCAGCCCTGTGATGAAATCCAGGGAGATGTGGGACCATGGGCGAGAGGAGGTGGGTAACGGATGGAGGAGACCCGGCGGTTTGGTTCTGGGCTCGTTGTTGCAGGCGCACACCCTGCTGGCTGCTATGTAGGCTCATAGGACGACACAGGAACTCCAATGTGCGAGTCACCCCTGGGTGTGCTGTAAACAGGGAGGAGTGCCCCCACTGCAGCACCTTGTCCCTGACCGCTGCAGGGACATACAATCTATTGCGAGGGTCCCCTCCCAGATCCGGCTCATTTCTTAGAGCCTGCTGCACCACGGCTTCCACCCCCAATTGAATGGGGGCAACTATGCAGCTAGCCGGGACTATGGTTGTGGGTGGTTGCTCTCGAGGGGAGGGCTCCCACTGGCGGGAGAGAGCATCGGGCTTGGTGTTCTTTGACCCAGGCCTGTATGACAATGCAATGTCAAACCTAGCGAAGAACAATGCCCACCTGGCTTGGCGGGGGTTAAGTTGCTTGGCTTGCTGGATATAAGCCAGATTCTTATGGTCAGTCCAAACCAGGAAGGGGTGCTTGGCTCCCTCCAGCCAGTGCCTCCACTCCTCTAGGGCCAGTTTCACGGCTAGCAACTCACGGTCCCCCATGTCATAGCTTTGTTCCGATGGGGAGAGGCGGTGAGAAAAGTGTGTAGCTTCTGGTTGGTACTAGACCGCTGGGACAACACAGCACCCACGCCTATCTCAGAGGCATCCACCTCTACCACAAAGGGGATCTCTGGATCGGGGAGCCGCAGCACTGGGGCCGAGGTTAAACGCCGTTTGATCTCCTCAAAGGCTTCCTGGGCTTCTGGATTCCACTGAAACTGCCCAGAGGTCTTCCTTGTGAGGGCAGTCAGGGGTGCAGCTACAGAGCTGAAATTCTTCACGAACCTCCGGAAGAAGTTAGCAAAGCCCAGGAAGCACTGGATCAGGCGGAGTGATGTAGGTCGGGGCTATTGGGCCACGGCCTGGATCTTGGCAGGGTCCATGCTCAGGTGGTTCTGAGACACCACAAATGCGAGAAAGGCAACCGTCTGAACATGGAACAATGACTTCTCCAGCTTCACAAACAGGTGATTATCTAGGAGAAGCTGGAGGATGCACATGGGCTACTAGACTCTTGCTGTAAATCAAGATGTCATCTAAATACACAAACACATAGCGATCAAGCCCCTCCCTCAGAACCTCATTGATGTAATGCTGGAAGACAGCCGGGGCATTCATCAGTCCAAAGGGCATGACTAAATATTCATAGTGGCCCAATGGGGTGATGAAGGCTGTCTTCCATTCATCCCCCTCCCTGATCCTAATAAAGTTGTAGGCACTGCGCAGGTCCAACTTAGTAAAGAAGGATGCCTGCTGCAGTGCCTCAGAGGCAGAGGGTAGCGGTCCTTGACCGTGATCTTGTTGAGCTCTCTATAGTTGATGCAGGGGCACAGGCCCCCATCCTTCTTCCCCACAAAGAAGAATCCTGCCCCAGCCAGGGAGGTGGATGGCCTGATGATGCCCGTGGATGTAGTCCTCCATGGCCTTACATACAGAGAAAATAGCCGGCCCGAGGGGGACTAGTGCCAGGCAGTAAATCAATGGCAATATCGTAAGGCCGATGGAGAGGCAGGAACTGGGCTTTTTTCTTACTGAAGACCTCCTGGAGGTCCCAGTACTCAGGGGGGACTTGAGAGAGATCAGGGGTTTCTGGACTGGGAGACAGGGAAGCCGTGCCACTAGGCCTGGGGTTCTGCAAGCCGGTGTTCTGGCAGAGGGGATCCCAGGAACGGATGTAGCAGTTCAGCCAGTCCAGACAGGGATTATGACGCTGGAGCCAGGGAAAGCCCAGCCCTAACTGCACACTGGGGGCACTGATGAGGTATAAGGACACTTTCTCACAGTGCTGTCCTATGCGCAGGCAGAGTAGTTTAGTCTGCTGGGAGACTGC